GAGAGAGAGAGAGAGAGAGAGAGAGAGAGAGAGAGAGAGAGAGAGAGAGAGAGAGAACAGCTGGTCGTCAGAGGACAACCTGAAGCAGTAGATTCTTTTCTACCACGTGGGACTGGGGATTGAAAGCAGGTCTTTGGGCTTGGTGATAAGTGCTTTCACCTGCTGAGCCATCTTGCTCACCCAGAAAGATTTTTAAAATTCAAAGCATTGTAGGAGGTGGTAGCACACATCTTTAATCCCAGCACTTGGGAGGCACAGACAGGTAGATCTCAAAGTTCGATGCTAGCCTGGTCTACAGAGTGAGTACCAGGAAAGCTAGGGCTACACAGAGAAATCCTGTCTCCAAAAAACAAATCAAACAAACGAAGAAGCAAATAAATAAATAAAACCATTTTATTTTTGAAACCACATAATGAGATTTTTTTTGAGATTTTTATTTTAAATTAAGTTTATATTGACATTTTCTTAGTTTAATTTCTAATATAATTAATACTGACAGACTTAGACAGTAAAACCAAAGCTCTTTGAAGTCAACCTACGGAGAGTAAAAGACTCAAATGTTGAACTAGAGATGGCTCCACTTTCACCCTCTGATTCTACCGTTTCTGAGAACTAGGTACAGAACACAGCACACACTTGAGCATCACCTTAGAATGGTGAAACTGTGGTCTGAATCTGTTCTTCTCTAGCATCATACAAAGCAGAATTATACAGACATCTTATCACCTGGAATCTTAACTACTAAAACAGGAAAATTGGGCCCTAAGTTTTGTCTTGAAAGCACCTTTACAAGATAACTTTTATTGTCTCTAGGAATCAATGCACGGTTATAAGAACCCATTCATTAAATAAAATTAAAAGCTTTGTTACCTTTTACCAAATATCGAGACTTTTCTTTTAGATGTAAGTTTGTTTGTGCTTGGCTTTTCAAAGGTTGCTCCCCCTTCGCTTCAAAGGAAAAGAGAAAAACACTCTTTAAAGCAAATACAAAAACACCAGTTCAAATAATTTTATGTTAACCTCTTTCCCCTACCAATAATAAATTTTCAAGATGACAGAAGTGTTTGGTAATTGTTTTCACTGAAATGAGCAAAAAGACAGGAAACTTTTAAAATGTTAATAGTTTTAATTTGTCTTTTTAATTTTAACATTTGTTTGCATATAGATAAGAATTTTAAGGAAAATATAAAAACTGGTTATAGGTTGACAGCTATGTTTGAATTCTTTTCTTCAGAATGGCTGATTAAGTAGCTTATATGTAGACGTTATGCTAATATGGGTTCACAGTAGGTTAGAAATAGCCTTCCAATAACTGGAAGAGCAACACTCTGAGTGAAAAACTAATGTTTATGATAACAGTTTCTTTGGTTGGTCGCTTTGTGAACTATGTCTTGCTCTGTCGGCTGGGGAACTACTATATGGCCCACCCTGGCCTTGAACTCTCATTCAGTCTTCTTCTTCCTGGAGTCTTTGGAAGACCAGGATGACAGGTGTGTGTGATCACACTCAGCTATAAGAGCAAGTTCATTTGTACACCCTAGTCCCTCCAAACTTGAAATAATTTTATAGCCTACCATCAAAACAAATAATATTGCTTTGATTTCATTTCTACCTTTAGTAGTTGGAAACATCTTAGTAAATTAAGTTATACCACTCTGCCTACTTCAACAGTTAATTATAAAGTAAGAGGAAAACAAGGAGTACTGGAAGGGTGCCAACAATCCTTTTATAGCAAGTCTCATTATACACAATGAGAAGAACCAAACCACCTAGCATCACGTTCACTTTTAGATTTCAATGAGCCCAATCAGGCACTGCTGGGAAGAGACAAGATTAAGACATCACTTAGGCTTTTGTACTAACCCTTTCTTACAACTGCCTCGCCCTAGACAGTAAGTATGCAGCTGAGAACCGTAGGTGGAGGCACTTACGTTTGAGGGGTATGAAGGTCTGGTTTATCGAGGTCTTGGGATCTTAATTCCTGCATGGAGAGGCACCCAGCACCACTGGTAGAAATGGAACTGTGCTTCATGCTTAGAACCTAATTCATGATTTCAATATCAGAAAAATGTTCCAGATGCAAGTGGTTCATTAAGCAACAATTATCACTTTTATTCTGAAGTAGGAGAGTAACCAAGTCTGTTTCTTCACGATAGTCTTTTCCCTGTGTGCTATATTTGTTTTTCACATATACCTAAGTCGTCACTACAAATAACACCTATACAACTTCAAGTATTCAATACACTCTAACAGGGCAATGCAAAAACTAATATATATGATTCCCGCATATATATCACAAGGCAATCCATGATTACAAAATTTCTATACATTATCTCTGAGTACATCACTGCTATCTCTTATGTCTATTTCAATGGTAACTCACAGGCTGCTTGACAAGAAATCTCAGGCTCCTTAACTCTCCTCCAAATGTTTCCTTTGGCTTCAAAAACAGGAGTCATTCTGTTTTCCTGAAGTCTACTTTTCTTGCTTTATGCTTAACCCCGTGTCTCTCAGTTAATACCCACTATTGTCTTTCTGATTCTAATCTCCCTTTTAGTAAAGATAAGCAATCTGGTCCACAACATAATGTAGAGGCTGCTTCCATGCTCAGAACATTTTAGTATCATAAGCATGCCTATGTCGGACCCTGTCTTCATCTCTAAAGGGCTAGACACTAACCACTAAGCTTTTTCAGGTCCTGCCCTGGCCTCCTTCGAGAGTGAGACAGAACTCGCTGTTGTAATAATAATAATAATAATAATAATAATAATAATAATAATAATAATA